ACATTGTGCTCATTAATCTGTTCCATGATATATTTCACATTACTCTGAAGTAATGAGTCATTTTTAGCAGCACACAGTTCCATTAAATGATCTATTTTATCCTGTATCAGTGACAGGTTACAGTTAATAGCAGTATTACCACTATTAGTGAGGCCAGCACTATTACTGCTTGCATTACTTGTACATGTACTCATGAAGGTATCTTTTGATATTAAGTTAAGTACAAGTATAGCTACCAATAGGAATATTATGATCACCAGTAGAATTATTATTGCAGCAAATGACTTCTTTCCTACAGTATACTGCACTGGTTGTTGAGGAGGTTTGGTATCCTTAACATTAGCTTTTGGTAGCTGATAATCTAATGAATATATCATACATTAGTTTTAATAATAAATTACTTGTATGGTATGTACCTGAGTAGTCATGAAGATCTGAGTACATTGCTTCTTCAGTACTAGTATCAGTCTTTACTACTGGTTGATAGGCTGTGTTTTGTGTTAGCTTCATTTCTTCATTGAAATCCTTAGCTTCACTTTGAAAGCTTGTTGACATTGTCTTGTTTTCCATCTCTTTACTAGCACTGCTTATGGTTATCTACAGCTCAATTTATTTATATAATTTTATTTGTGTTTAAATTGGCACTATTAATGAATAACAGCACATTTGGCTTCATTATAACTAGCATGCCAAGGTGTTGTAGTTTATAATATCTCTGCTTTCAATTTTGGACTGTTTGTTATGATTTGTTCACACAATTATTATGTGTACTTGACATAAATCTCAATGGAGTATTTTCATCACTCCATCCACTGTCTTTGCAACACATACACACTCAGTTCAATGTAATTGACAGTGATAACGTTAAAGAACCGCAATAAGACTAATTTTGATTGTAATTAGTGCAAAATTTCTACACAGCATTAAAAGATGTGCATCAGAAAATGTAATAAAAATGGAGAATTCTATCCTTGCCATTTTTGATGAAATACCATGCATTATTTTGAAACAACTTCATTTACCTTTTAACTTAACGCTTAACACAATCATCTCAGGTAGTGCTTTTGGCCATGTATTGCAGTGCCACTTATTTCACCAAGGAACGTATAACTTATTACTATTGAAATTGCAAATAAATATTAATTATTTATAATCATACAAAGTTTCTTTATC